CGTAGTCGCGATCGTAGCTGTGTCTGTAGTCGCGGTCTGGGTCGGGAATGCCTGTCGAGCCGTCTCTTGCGAGGCTGTCCGTGTCATGCCCGTGGTCGTGGACGTAGGAGCCGCTGTCGCGTCTATGGGACGACTGGCTGACGTCGTCGTCGTAATAGTCGTCTTTTAGTGGTGGTGCCGCCGAGAGTGCTGAGAGCGAACTTGTGTCTGCTGGGGCCGTGACATCCTCTCCCTTAACTCCCAGCAGCAGTTGCGCCGTAGCTGCTGCTGCGTCTTCCTCTCGCGCTTCCTGCTTCCTGCGCCGGCGCTTGGCTGCGATGGATTTTGGTAGCAATTTCGACAACGCCCCTCCACTCTCCCCAGTGCTGTCCATCGTGGTTGGCTGGCTGGTCCGGCAGGCTGGATATCTGGGTCCTGATCCTCACTGCTCCTCCTCAGCTCCGGGTTCGTAAATACCGTAATGTCGTACTCTTTACGAGGGTTTGCGGGTTCGGTCCAGAGACTCCAGCACAGGCAGGCAGGTCCCGAGGTTGGCAGTTGACAGGCTGTCAGGAGCAATACGCGCACCGGACCCGACAAGTGGGCTCGAAGATCATGCTCTGAGGCGACAGGGAAATAAAGGTATTTCAACGAAATTAAGGTCGATGTGGTAGGGGTTCGGGTTGTCCTGTTTGGTGTTTGAAGTGTTTGATTCGAGGTTGTCGTTTCGATGTGATGTTGCAGTGCAAGGAAGGCGGCGATTAGTGCAAGGTACGGGTGAGGCAGAGCAGAGCTGTTCAGGTTTCCGGCCGAGAAGGTTCCTGATCCATGGATCGAATTCTGGATCTCGAGTTCCTAAAAAGAAGCAACGGGCGGCTTCATCTATGAATGACCTTGGAAGAGACCCGGGCAAATTCGTTCAAATGCAAGGCAGTGGCCCAGACGGTCGACCGGTCCCACCTTGTATGCTCGCTTGCGACCTGCCCAGTCTAGACGTGGACGCTGCAGCAGACCACCTCGAGGTATTACGGTACGGCTACAATGGAAGCTTGGCCAACCCAAGCCGGAGCGCTCTCTCCTTGCGCGAGCGTCATCGTCACCGAAGGCGAAGGCAAATGCCTCGTACGGGCGGGCTGGGCCGGGGTAAACGGCCCCTACCTTACGGGAGAATCGCCTTGGCCCAAAGTGGGAGGAGCAGCTTAAGTGGTCACCGTCTGGAGGCAGGTACAAGTCCCTGTTAGTGGGTCACAATTCCTACGACCTCCATGTATTCTACAGAGACGGACATCTGCATGTTATTGTGCCACAATGCCGTTGCACCCGGCGGAATCATGTCGATTGTTATTCGCCGTCCGATCTGGTGTTCTGCTGGTGCATCTGGGTGCACTCCAACCTGCATTGGTCCATTATTACGAGCGGCCTGGACTCCTGAAGAATTGGGAATCTGGGGCCGTCGACCGCCACTTCAATGTTGCGATGGGTCCCTCAGGTGGTAATATTCCTTCCTCCACCCAGCCAGACCAAGTTGATGCTGCTATTTTTGTTTTTAATAGCTTCTTTTCGCTTGCTTGGGTCATCCAGAATGCGAGTGCGGCTGCGCAGATTCCACCATCTTGGTAGCATTTCTCCCTCGCACTCGCTTGGCTAGATCCTCTAGAGTCGGATCTCTCGAGGAGCGCCGCTTTCTCACCCCCTTAACAAGATCATGTACCGCCTCCGTCTTGGCCTGGATCGCATCTCACCTCATTCGCGAACTCCATTCTATCCGAGTGCGCTCGCATCCCACCTGCATGGTCTGCCGATTTACCCTAATTAGTGGACAGGCCGGAATGTTAGGTCGGGTATTCGTACAAGTAGGTGGCAGCACGCTGTCACACTGATATCTCGCGGAGCATCATCCTCGTCGTCCTAGGTTCCCATCAATAATTCAACGACGGCCATCCGCGGCTCACGGCAGCCTCGGGGCGATGCACCCAACGCTCATCCCACCTCGCCACGTTATCCCTCGTCCCTCCTGTCGATAATGGTCGATGTATGCAAGTCTGGCAGATGGAAAATCCCAAGAGGGTTTCGATGGCTGGCCCGATCGGGGCCTGCTGTGGCCGCTGGGTTCCCCGTTTGGATCACCTGCTGGCTAAGGAACCCATAACGACGTCAGGGGCTCTGCAGGTTGCGAATAGTGTCTTGGGGAGGCCACTGCGACTCTTGTGATAGGCCAGATCCTCCTGTGACAAGACAGACAGGACGCCGCGCCCCCGGGCATTGGACAATGTTAGAATCCTTCCATCCTCCGTCGCCCGGCGAGGCGCATGGCATGTACCTGTCTCTGCCATGTCTCTGGCTAAACTCAGAGGCACGCGACTGCCGTCACTTCAGAGGCTCTTACGCTGGGCTGATTCAAAGTCAGCCACATTTGTTTTCCCCGATGTTCAGCCCGTTGCGTCAAGTGGTGGCACAGGCATATCTCAGGGTTTGACTTTGAATGCTTTGCTGGCCAAGAAGCAAGCAGAACAGTCGACAGATGTCAATTGAGAACATATTGAACCGAGGCAGTGGTACGCATAACGACGTCTTCGCTGTCAAACTACGAACCCCGGAAGCGCCGGCCTAGCAGTGGAAAATTGACGGCCTCTCTTAGCTTCAGCATGGCTTTTCGGCTAACAGTCATAATTTGATTCAAAACTGCATCATGAAAATGTCACCAGCAGAATTGACTCTGGACTTGCTGGTGACGTGGGAAGGGTGAACCTTGCTGCTCGTCATAGGTTGGCAGCGACCTGCCCTGCTTACGTACTGTACCAGTTGCGCTCAGGTACTTTCCCTTGACCGACCGCTCCAGGCCCCCCATTGTGGCCACACGGCAATGACTTGCCGCTCCTGCACGCAGCACTCGCAGCACTGAGCAGGGCCACTTCCACCAGTCCATTCAGTGCAGTGCACCTGTTGGGGTTTCCACCGCGAGAAAGAACAAGCGGGGAGGGAACAGGTGGAAGCTTCTTAGCGAAACTCTGGGGAAATCCTCCGTGACCGCAACCGCCAACCACCCAACATCCCAGCCCGCCGTCTGCTTGAACACCCACCGAGCAGTAGTGCTATCCCGCCATCGGCACCTCCACCGAACGACCTCCCTGCCACCGTTTTAGATGCTCCGTGGCGGGCGCGTGACCTCCGGATCTTAGAGTCCCGTGTATGCGACGCTACGAGAAAAGTATTCACACAAGCCCGATCGAAACGTTTGCCCGTCATCCCAAGAACCGCAATCGGCAACCCACATCGTCGCGGCTCCAATCATGGACGAGTCGCCGCTGGTCAAGGTAGCCTCATTCCCTTCGCATCATAATGTCTCTCCATGAACTGTCCTAACATGATATATAGGCGCATGACCATGCCAAAGCCGCCTCCAACGCGACGCACCAGTCCGAGACTACGGTCGCAATCAACGAACATGCCCTCGCCGCGGGAGAATTCGCAAACGCCGCTCGTTCCACAGCCAGCCTCGAAGCGCTGCGCACCCTGAGGCTGCTGGAACAACACCACAAACATCTCTCTGAGCTCCTCAAGATCCCCCTCGACCGCCGCACGAGCCAGGCCTCCAATATCGACACCATCGACGAGAAGGCAGAGTCGCAGGCCTCCGAGACGACCAGCATCTCCGCCTCGGACGATGCGCCAACCAAGTCAGAGACCGCCGGCAACCCGGCCGCGGCGGCCAAGCACCCTCCGTCCCTGACGCAGCCTCGTCGCTACCCCAGTCGCGAGATGACCTCGTCCATCGCGAGCAACCTCGCTTCGGCGCGCGGTATCAGGGGCGGCAGGAACCGCAGCCAGCCTATTCCGCCCAGCGTTACGAACGACCAGGCGCCGGGCAACATGGAGGGGCAGGTGAGGCGTGAGGGTTCGAGGGCCAAGATGCAGAATGTCTTGGACCAGTCAGGAAAGCCAGCTTGGATACCGCCGACGCACGCCGAACCGCAGCGCCAGGAGCCCAAGAAGACGGAGGAGGTCGCTTCTCCAGCCAGCGACGACGGATACTCGCGCTTCTACAATACCTTTGGCAGCATCATCAACCGTCTCTCGGCCCCCTTGGCCTTTGCCGGCCTGCCCTTGATCTCCGAAGAGTCTCCCGCCCCTGAACCAGTCGAAGTCCCCGAGCCAGCGCCCGTCAAGCGCAACAGACTCAAATCGCCAGCGACCACGGCCGAACCCGACCTCTCAAAGATCTACTCCCGTAACACCCTGCGCGCCCTCTCCGCAAATAACCCCAACGACTCCTTCTACGTTGTCCCCACGAGCGGCCACACGGTCTCCTACGCCAACATTCTCAACTTTGCCGACAAGGAAAAGCGTCGCATGGAAGCCTCCCTCCACGGCGTCGGCAGCCTTATCGAAGACGACGAGGACGATTTCGTCGATGCCCGCGAGACCCCTTCCGCCCCGGTCTCCCCCGGTGCGAAGCGCCGAGGCGGCAGGACCCGCTCCGAACGCGACCGGGCCGAGGAACATCGCCTCGAAAACGAGTGGCTGAAAGACACGCTCGACAAGCTCAGCAAGCGCCTCCACGCCTTCGAGGCTAGTGCTCAGAGCTCCAGTATGGCTCTGGCGGAGAGCATGCGCCTGCGTCCGCCCGCATCGCCATCGGGACTCGGCGGGGCTGGCAGCGGCGCAAGTGACGCGGTGTTGCGAGCACGTAACAAGGATCTCGAAGAGCAGCTCGCGCTCGCGATAGAGCGCATGGAAGCCCTGGAAAAGGAGAACAAGACGATGGCCCGCACGTTGGAGAAGTATCGCGACAAATGGGACAAGCTCAAGGCGGGCGCGAAGGCAAGGCGGCAGGCGCAGGGTTCGGCTGAAGTCGCCGCTCAAGAGGCGGAGGAGACGGGCGGTAGCTAAAGGCGCGGTATCTTTCATGAACTTCTTGATTTTGAACGGCAGCGAAAAATAGGATCGACAGCGTTGTTGTACATAGCGTTTATGCTGGGGTATCTACCTCGACACTTTGAATTTTAACATCAAACAAATCCTCACCCTTCTGCCTCAACGTGATTTCCGTTCCACCAGAAACTCACACTAAAACTCACACTCAGACTCCTCACATAATGCCACCACCCCATCGGCATATACAACACATCCCCCTTCTCAAGCACGCAGTCCCAGTGCCGCAGCCCCCGGAACTCCTCCAGCTCAATCGCGTCCCGCCCCTCCGCGTCCTCGTCCCACCCCTCCACGGCGCCAACGTCAAACCCGCTCGTGTTCGACATGTCCACCTCCTCCTCCCCGCGCGGACACAGCGCCTCGGAGTCGTGCGGCGCGTACAGCCGCAGGTACTTGGCCCCGACGACCTGGCAGAGCAGGTTATGGTACCCGTCCGTGTGCAGCGGCGTGATCGTCCCCGGCGGGCCGAACCACGCGTTCACCAGCGGCAGATCCAGCTCCGGCTTGTTCTTTGAGTGGTCGAGCGGGTGCGGCGGCGGGGCGGTGAAGCAGTGGTCCGGCGTGAGGATGTCGTTCTGCAGGTGCGGGAGCTGCGTGAAGAGCTCGTGCTGCGCGAGATACGTCGTCTTCCCGTTCTCGCCGGTGATCCGCCTCAGTAATTCTTTGAACGGGATGAGCTCCTGTGTCCATCCCTCGTCGACGTAGCTCCGTCCGACCTCCACGGGAACCAGCCGCCGCCCGCCGCAAGTCCTGCTCATCAGGTACGCGGGGCTGTCCCATGGCCGGCTCGACAAGGCGGGCCACTCCGTCAGCAGCCCCTTCAGCACCAGCGGCTCCGGCCCGAGGTCCCCCGCCGAGTCAAGGTACCGCTGGAACCTCGCCATGGACATCCCCTCCACGACCTTAATCGGCCTCGTCACAGGCGGCGTGAAGGTCCTCGTAGTCGGGAACGTCTCTGGCAACGACGTAGCCTGCGTCGGGGCATCGAGATACGAAAGCAATTCCTCGATAACCTTCCGTCCCCTCCTCCTCCCCGCGCCGCCAGCGAGAATGAGAGCCTTATCCAGCACCCCGACCAGCTCATCCAGCAGCTCTTCCTTTCCCGCATCGTCGCTTGCTGCGCCCGTCGTGACTAGGACGACAAACTTCATCAGGCTCAGCTCCGTATACAGCACCCTCCAACAAAACGGCAACTCCGCATACACAAAGTCGTAGAACCGCTTATATGTCCTCCCGAGCTCCTCGTCAAGCAGGCGGGTCATCTCCGCCGTTTCCTCTTCAGCGGGCAAGCCTGCCAGGGCCAGCGTGCGGCGCGCAAGCTCGCTGTACCGCGTGAAAAGATCTTCGGTGAGAGCGTGTACGCCGTCTGCCTTCAACGTCTCGTCGTCACCTGCGGCAAACTCCTCAGGCCGGGAGGACGCCATCTCGAGGGCTAGGTCTGTGCATTCTTTGATGAGGGCAGGGTTGCTGAGGGTGTTCATATTTCTGGGGCCGACGAAGCCATTCAATAAGCGGATGAAGGTTATAATGCCTTGCTCGTTGTGAAAAGTGAGTTTGTGGATGAGAAGCAGCGTATGATGTGAGTGTGTTGATGGTGAGATGTAACGGGTTTGAGTTGCGCCAAGCGGGTCCGTCTGAAGAAGGTGCTGGTGAGCTCGTGCCAGATGGGACGAACTGTCAGCCAACGGCATTACACCCCTCAACCCATCGACCAAAACATCAAGGAGAATTGGTTATGCAAAAGTCAATTGAAACGTAATTCATGCGACTTTCGGTCTTACACATCATCACAAGCTTCGTAAATGCCGTATCTCGTTGTATTGCGTTGATTCGCTCTGTACTGAAAGGGGTTCTGTATACTCTAACATGTCCATACTCCTACAATACCGTCTTGACGGCCCTCGACCAGGTACCCGTCCTTAACACGTACACGTTCTACAACGGCAGGCGTCTTGTTGTCGTCTGCTTCCGCAATGCCGGCGCCGCATTCCCACTGCCGGCCCTCTACCTTATCGTACACTTTCACGACGTCCTCGCCAGCCGCGCTGACGATCCTCCTCTCGTCAAACATCATGCTGGTGACTGCGTTATCGTATGCATACGCGTCGTAGATGGATCCTGTACGGAGATCCCATATCTGGTCTGGTTAGCCAGGTTCTCTTTTGCAACCATGGAAGAACTTACTCTAATGCTTCGGTCCATGCTACCGGTAACAAGGTGAACGTCGTCGAATTGCAAGCATGTCACCGGGCCGGTGTGTCCCACCAAGCTTCGGTGGACCTGGCCGCTTCGCAGATCCCATAGACGAACCATGCCATCGGCGGTACCACACGCCAGAGCTGTCTCAAACACTTGCAAAGCCCCAATAAAGTGGGCCGTCTGCGCCGGCGCTCTACTCGTTTGCCTCCAAGAGCTGTCGCTGCCAAAGTTGGCAGAAGCCTGAGCCGCTGCCCACATAACATCGAGAGTTTGCACGCAACGACCGTTTTCAAGATCCCACTGCCGCAGAGTTTTGTCTGCTGAACCGGAGACAAGGATATCGTTTCTGAAGTGAAGGGCCGTAATTTCGTCAACATGTGATTGCAGGGTGTAAAGAGGACAATCCCTCATGCTTCCCGCAGGAGGTTCAACCGGGCTGTCGTCGGGGTTCTCAAATGCGATTCCATCTTCATCATCGTCGAATTGGCTGCCGTGAGGGTCGTAGTGAGCCTTGCTAAGATCCCACAGACGAATTGTAGCGTCCATTCCACCGGTCACCAAGAAGTTGTCTTCGACCTGCAGCGTTCTTACGGATGCAGTGTGACCCTCTAGCAAACCGATGCAGCGTCCCGCGTTGAGATCCCAAACCTTTATCGAGTCGTCCATAGCCGAGGTAACCATAGTTCCAAAGGGTGCGTCAAAGTCGAGAGCCGTAATAGTGTCCTGGTGGGCGCGAATCTCCCTGATGGCGGTGCCCGGTTCAAAATGCTCGTGCAATATCGGCATAGATTTTCGACGAACAACCTTCTTCTTCTGTTTTGATGCCGGGGTGTTGGATGCGGACGGTAGCTTCTCGTAGACGGATTGCGACATGAAACCGGACTCATCCTGATCGCCGGCAAGGTCCTCCTCAGTCTTTGTAGGTGTGTTGATAGCAATTGATTCCGCTTCGTCGAAGAGCTCTTGCGCTTCTTCTAATCGAGCTTCGGTGTCCATAACTGTGACGGGTTAGCTGAAGACCATAAGCTGTCCGCGATTCCACCTACGGTCGTGTTCCAGCATTGTCTCTTCCTGCTCCAGATTCGCTAGCCTATCCAGAATAATCCGTCGCATGCCGTGCAAGTTCGCAATCTTGTTGTCAATGTCACGAATCTCGCTGCTAGCCATGTTCTTACGAACACCCAGCATTTCGAGCTCGTGCATCATCGACGCCTTGTCCTTTTTCAGATTTTGCAGCTCCTGGGGTGTGCCGGGGGTATGTGCCGTCTCGTCCAGCAACTTCCTGCCCCTCGAAACCCGCCTCCGGTGCTTCCTGCCCTCTTCCGTCAATTCGGGGAAGCTAGCTTTGAAGCCCTGGAACAGAGAAAAGGAGTTGTCGCCCTCGGGAATGTTGGCCAGGAGCTCATCGGGAAGGTACGTCAAAGCGCGGTGCTGGATCTCCGTCTTGGAGAGCTTTGAGCGCACCAAGTCGGTCGGGGTGGTCTTCGCCATCGAGAACATGCTGCGCTGGACATTTGGGCGGCGCAGCTGTTTGTGGACCTCGGCAAGGGCGCCATGGTAATGGCCGTGGCCGTTGCCACTCTGCTCGGAAAGAGGGCCGATCAAATGGCTCGCGGTGGTGGTGACCTTGCGCCCGAATGCTTCTATGCCACGGGTCTGAGGGGGATTATTATCAGCACTGGATCAGGCCACGATACCGGCCAAGTCGATGCCGCCGGGGGGTCACGCGAGTGGCAAGCGTGACTTACAGACAGGACCGACTGGTCGTCTCCGGCATCGTCGTTGAAGCCATACTGGTCGTTATCCTTATCCGAGGCGGCCATGCGTACGTATTCTCCGGGTCAATACGCGCGACAATGGTGGCACAAGGGGGATGAGGTCGAGGTCGGAGGGAGAGGAGAAATGGTGTAGGTTGCAGAGTTGTGGAAACAGCTCCGGGTCGGTGGTGGTTTTCGACAAGGTCAAGTTTTGTTGTCTCGGTCAAGAATCGACTACGTATCCACACACCAGACAAGATCCCGGCAATGACCCGGTTGGGGTCGGTTGTGACCGTCCCAGGCCCAGTTGTGTGTGTCCAGTGCGTGTGCGCCCGCGAATGACGAAGGCGCTAAAACCCGAGGAGCTCCCTGCACGTAGCAGGTGCACCTCTCCCGTCTCTGGTGCGGTGCGGCGTGCCCCCTCAGCTGGATGGACCTGGGCCAGTTCCAAGGCCAGCCAGCAGGTCACCTCAAGGTCGGGTGGACACTCCGACTTCTGGGCGGGCTTCCGACGTGGCTCCATGCCTCCAATCCGCTAAGCTGCTTTTCCATTAGCGACCACAAGGCTCGAAAACACGCTCAAGACGCTGAAGGTAGCAGCGCCCGCACTTTTGGTCCTTGGAGCGGCGTGGATGGTCCGGGCTTTCTTCCAGCGACCGGACGGGACCTCCTGAGCAGTGAACAGCGAGCAGCTGCTGGAATTGACATGTCGCAGGGGGTCCTGATTGGTGCCCGCCGGAAGCGACCCCTGTGCCTGTGCTGCAGGTCCTTTTTCCCGTCAACGAGATTGGCACAGCCTTGTTCGCTCTGAAGGCAGTGCTGAGATGAGATCTTTTTTTTTTTTTTTTTTTTTTTTTTCTCAGTTGGCACCTTTCCCCTTTGGCGCCGGCGTCATCGGCCTTGGCTCCTCTTCAAGCAAATCTTACCCCAAGATTTTGTGACTCGACGATAACCAGTCCGGATGCGTTTCTCTCACCAGCCAGACCCCCAACCGCCAATTTTGCGCCAGAACAATCCTCACGGCCCGGTCTACAATATCTCTTCTGGTTTCCAGTCAATTGACGACGAGATGGACTCCCTTATCGACTTATCGGACCCCTCCAAGGCGCTGGACCTGTCCCGCATCCGGTACCAGTTGATGTATGTCAACCCCAAACTCCCCGACAAACAATATCTATGGCAACAACTGACAATGTACCCAGCCGTCTTGAGGACACCATCACCTTCCACCTCATCGAACGAGCCCAATTCGCCCTCAACAAGACCATCTACGTCCCCGGCGCATTGGATATCCCCAACAGCGAGCTGAGCTTCATGGACTGGTACCTGCGCGAGCAGGAGAAGCTGCAGTCCATCATCCGCCGCTACGAGTCCCCCGACGAGTACCCCTTCTTTCCGGAGGCCCTCCAAAAGCAGATCCTCAAGCCCCTGCACTACCCGCGCATCCTGCATCCCAACGACGTCAACGTCAACGACAAGATCAAGAAGTTCTATGTGGATACCTTCCTCCCCGCACTCTGCCCCGATTTCGGCCGAGAGGACCGCGGCGAGTCCCAGGAGAACTACGGCTCCTCGGCAACCTGCGATATTGCCTGCCTGCAGGCCCTGTCGCGCAGGATACACTTTGGAAAGTTTGTCGCCGAGAGCAAGTTCCAGTCGGAACCGGAAAAGTACACCGCGCTTATCAAGGCCGAGGACCGCGACGGCATCGGCGCCGCCATCACCAACGCCGCTGTTGAGAAGAAGGTCCTCGAGCGCCTGCGCCTCAAGTGCCTCACCTACGGCACCGACCCGTCCATCGGCGCGGGTCCCGAGAACCAGGCCAAGATTGACGCCGACTCCGTGGTCGCCCTGTACAAGGATTTCGTGATACCCCTGACCAAGGAAGTTGAGGTAGAGTACCTGATGCAAAGACTAGAGCCGGTAGAGTAGACTTTTAAAATGGAATGCTTGAAATGATTCATGACTTTTATTTATATCCCCCCTCTATTGGCCGGGGTTCATGTACTTCTCTACCGCCTGGACCGCGCCCTCCCACTTGCTCGCCTCGATCAGGATCATGTAACCGTGCGACTTGACGCCCATCTCCTGGAATGCGCGCTTACTATCCGCGACGGCCTGGTCGTCGTTGGTGTAAGAAAAGGAGCCGTGTGCCGTCGCGTGCTTCACGAAAACCTCGTCCTCGGGGTGGAAGTGCCACATGGCGGCGTCTGCCTTGGCCTTCTTGCCCTTCCTCTCCGTCTCGGTCAGTGTTGACTCAATCTCCTGGTACGTCTTGGAGAGGATCAGGTAGTGCGTGAACTCGTACGGCTCCTTGTCCTCGACGGCAGCCTCAATCTCGTCGACGAGCATGCGGTACATCGGTGGGGCGATCTCGGAAGGCATGTTGATGAGTCTCTCGCCGAGAATCAGGCCGACTTGAGCGCCGCCGTTGATGAGGTTGGGGATAGGGGCCAGGGCCTCATTCGTCTGCGCCTTCTGAATAAGGTACTTGGCCAGGTCGGCCATCTCAGGCTTCTGGCTGTGCTCCTTGATGTTGAGCGCCGTGATGAGAGCGTAGGCGTCGTTCTCCTTGCTGTCGACCTTGACGGTTGAGCCGATGGTGGGTTGCGACAGGATCAGATCGGCGAGGCCAGAGATGTTGAAGAGCGTCGCATCGACGTCGAGGAGTTGGCGCAACAGGGTCTTGGTGCCGTGGAAGTCGACCTCTGGGTCGAAGTTGAACCACTCGAAATCGACGTTGACGACGTCAAAGTCCTGATTTTGTGAGCTTCATTTTAAGGAGAAAAGATGAGGTCTCCCACCTCATCGTCGGAGGAGTCCTCGTCCATTCTGTCGGCGACATCGTCGGCGGGCTTCTCCTCTCTTTCTCTCTTCTTGCCCATTTTGAAAACCTGTGTCAAACTGCTGAGCGTTGGAGGGATATGCTCGGTGGATTGAGGCCGCGGTCTTAGACTTGGCGCAAATGTACTTGGAGCTGATGAGTGTGAGAACGCCACTGGCACCCAGATGCCCAGACCTGGTCGGTGAAGATGAAATTTTTGGTGGGGGTGCCCCTCACTAAGCCCTTTTGGGATAAAAGCAGCTCTTATCGATAACAACTTCCTTGGTATTGAGTAGTGCTTCATTTTCTGTTGTTTGATCTGAATGAGAATCGATTCGCTCATATGCAAGTTACCACAGCGCCCGCCATTCATTGGGGCGATGAGAGGGAGGAAAAAATTAGGCATCTAGACCCCCACCTCCGGAGACGATCACTGCAGCCCGAGATAGTCTTGCCTCGGAAGACATGCGACTGTGGTTGCGCCGCCTCGTCCATCTATTGGTGAAGCGTGGCCTACGATTTGCACATTCAATGGCTGCCCAACCAATGCGGCCGATGAGCTGTCTTATAGCATCCTGGCTGCGCACTTGCGCAAAACAGGGGCTCGCAAAGCCACCGCTACCGCTTTGTTGGAGCCCTCTTCATTATCGATGTACTTATTGTCGGAGGCGGCCCGTTGAACGCGCAGACACCATGCTTCGTGGTCGGAATTCGTGCTTCTCTAGCCAGGACTGATGCGATGGCAAACTACAACGTTCCCTTGCGCCCCAACATTCTTTCTCCGGATGAACCCAACCCATACGACGTCGCAGTGGGGTCTACGGCAAGTCAATCTTGCGAGAAGAACACCGCCGGGCCTCCTAGAAGTGAATCAGACTGGAAAACGCCAGCTGCAGGATTTGAGGCAGGCCTAGACTGCCGTCGTAAACTCGAACCCATACACCTCCCACAAAGACAGACAGCGAACGAATCCAAGGGAAAGCTGCATGACCTGGTTCAGCGGTGGACTCGCAGAAGGCAGGCTTCGGACTTTGGCCAGCCTTTGCAAGAATATGATGGTTCGTGGGGGGAATTCCAAAAATGTACCTGTGGGGGGAACGGGGAGAGACGACGAACTGGGAGGTATAGGTCCTTGATTCGCCGATTCACCAATCAGGGTCAGTCCCAATCTTCCATCCCGTCTTTTTACTCAAACGCCTGGGAATCTTTACCCACGTCGAGGTACTTGGTGGAATTGGAAGGAGACTCGGATTTCCACGGATTTGGAGGAAGGGTAGAGTTGCCTGCGCAGCCAATATCACCACAACGACGCTCTTGCCAACAATCACAGCCCGACACACCACGGCCTGAAACGCCACTACAGTCAGTTTCGGGACAGCCGGCTTGCTTCGGAACCCTCTCCTCCTCTCGTCCAAGAGTAGAACGTACGTTTGAGGGAGTGTCCTTGCGGCCAGCCAATTGCCCAAGCAAGCTCACAGCGCCTTTTGACCCCAGTCTCCCATTATCTCTTTTGCCTCCGATCGATGTCGAAATATATAAGTTGTTTGAAGACTCGGATGGTCTGAATGAAGACTCGAGCAGCTATTCTCCGGTTTCTTGGGAACACGCCGACGGCAAAACCTTTGGTGAGGTAAAAGTAACATGTGCAGGCAACTTCGGTCAGAAGGTAGTCCACTTCCTTCATTGTATTCAGAATTCAAAAGCTAAACAACATCTATAGTCAAGTCTGCCGTCCCAAAGTGTCAAACCGACGGATCATTCTGATAACAACTTCAAGTCATACGTCACAGAGGAGCAGCCTCAAAACGCTAGTGAGATACATTATCTAGATGAAGTTTCGAGAAGCCATTCGCCGGCCTCTTGGAAGTACGATGACGATGAGAACTTTGAGGTAGCAAAGAAAAACACGTGGAGTGGATCTACTAATGTCCTCAATTCAACGGTTAATCTCGGCACCAACTTCCAGCTGAAGGCGAACAAAAGACAAAAGAAGGGACACTTCGTCGGTGACTCGGCTCCCCGTCTCCAGTCACCAGCAGCGACCACGCCAAGGCGTAATTATCGTATGGACTTTTCCTCCGGGTTAAACCTGTCTGGGTCTTCCCAAGTATCAGGGGTAACATCACCTTCCTTCTCTCCACGGTCTCTCTCAGAGAGGGATCCAGGATGCCTAGACCGATCGTCAGAGGCTGAGACCGCCTCGAGCTTGGGTTCTCATGTTACCTCTGACAGCAGCGCCTATTCTGGATCTTTCTCTACTAGCGGGGAATTGACATACGAGGGTAAAAGGCGCTTGCTACTCGGACAGCTGATGCGGGAAGTCTACTCTATCATTTCTCCGCGTCTGCCGTCTCCTCCCGTGAATCAATTGGGTAACGAGGATTCAACCAACGCCAGGTGGAAACCATCTTCTGGGACAACAGTCAAAGCAACAACATCGAGTAATTCTGGTTCTTCTGGCCGAGAAAAATACAAGAGACTGCCAGATGATCCAGATGGTGGTCGTTCGGGAGGTGGGGATGGCCAGAAGAGGGCACGCATGGATATACCCGACGAGGAAGGGACTGCACGACTTGCATGTCCCTATTTCAAGAGGCATCCACAGCGGTATTGCACTTCTAAGTGGCGATCGTGCCCAGGACCAGGTTGGAACACTGTTCATCGTGTGAAGTACGTATCTTGCTGTTCATTGCACATGTGGTCGTGTACTGATAAACGGCAAGAGAACACATCTATAGATGTCACGCGCTGCCCATAACCTGCCCACGCTGTCATGAGCAATTCCACGATGCAGGAAGTCGAGATGCTCACCTCATGGCAGAAGAGAGATGCCAAATCAGGGAGAGGCCCGCGCTCGATGGATTCAGTCCTGAGACAGAAAAGCAACTCCGTAGCCGCAAGAAGGGAAGTAAACATCTAACAGAAGCTGATAAATGGAGAGACGTTTATCTCATATTGTTCCCTGATACCGCTCTTGAGCAGATACCGAGCCCATGTACGTTTTGATCGAGCCAACCCTTCCGATGCCAAGGCTAATTTTACAGATCTCGAATTCGGCTCCGGCGCGAACACCGGAGATCCAGATTCTGCATTTGAAAGATACGACCAGTATCTGAGACAAGAGCTTCCGAGCAGAGTTCGAAAAGAACTCGAAAGTAAGATCGACAAGGCTTTGGCCCCGTTAGAGGAAAGCTTGAAAAGTCAAATCGTTAGTATTATCAGGGACGTGCAACTTGAGTTATTCGAATCATTCGTTTCGGAGCCAGCAAATCCCTTCAAGGCGCAAGAACAAATGTGCTACATGGATGAAAGCGCTTCACGGGCAGGAAAAAAGCCTGTCTACAACACCAATGAGTGGCTCGAGGGTGAGCTTGAGGCTTTCAAACCTACGCCATACCTGGAAGAGAATGTTGAGGATTTGATTCTGAATTGGTCGCCTGGAAAATATGTATACCCTGAAGCACCAGAAGATGATGGGCTCTTCAGCATGGCCGGATTTAATGGTGGTCCGTCTTCTGCTCAGCAGAGCGCATCAGCAAACTTGCAATTGTTTTCTTCACGAGGGGAGGATTCGGCGTACGCTTCTCTTTCATCTGGATCTTACTTTAATCCTTATAGTGCAAGTCGAGCACATAAATGAGGCTAGGTGGATTACATTCTTCTTGTTACTTGACAATTTAGAAATCCCATCGGGTCCTCAACACGCTTGCATCACGGCAACACGCCGTCTGTTCTACTTTTGGACTTCAAATCTACAACTTGCCGGCCTTCAATTAGATAGGTGTCTATTAGAAGTGCCTGCTCGGCGGATTGCCGCCCTAGCTGATTACAATGCATGATATCGATGATTGGGTCAATCCTCCTTCAGGCTAATCAACCATCTTCTCCTCTGCCTTCTCCTGAGGAACCTCTCCGCCAGTCTCTTCCAGAACACTCGTGCTCTTCGTGACCGTCAACACAGTCGGCAACGCAAGAATCAGAGATCCGATACTTAAACCCCAGTTCATAGCAAGCTGCGTCATGGCACTCGCACGCTGAGCATTGATCCTCCACGCCATCGCACCTCCAGCTGCTTGGAACGCCTTGTAAGCGCCAACAAGAACAGCGGCCCGGCCGGGGGAGTTGGATTGTGTTCCCATAAGCCAATAGCAGTAGGACTGCCACAAAGAATCGTAAGCGCCATAGAAGATGTACAGGAAGATCGGTCCGGTAGAGAGGGAGCCCTGCGTGTAGTCGATGTCTTGGATGAGACCTTGAGCGTGACGAGCATCCTGCCACTTCTGGAACGCATATCCACCACCCCAGATCGCCATGCCAGTGACGAACAACACAACCCATCCGAGTCTGGCACGTCCAGGGCGCTCCAGCATAGGCAGATCGAGAAGAACGCCAATGACAAGGCCGCCGACCATCTGCGCGAACCAGTACAAGGCTCCGTTCAGCGATCTCGTCCTAATATTGAACGTCATACCGTTCACATCGTTCTGCTGGTACGAGTAAAACACATTGGCGCAGAAGAACAACGGCAACATGCACAGCACCCTCCAATTACACAGCGTCGCGACAGACATCTCCAACATGCCCTTCAGGCTCTGCTTCTCCGTCTCGGTGGCGGCGTGCAGCTGCGCCAGGCGGATGCGCTTCGGCGAGCAGATGAAGAGCCCCAGGACCCAGCCGACGAGCATGATGGTCATCAGCGCAATGTACGTAGCGTCGTTGACGGTGCCGGTCGTGGAGTGGAAGTTGAGGCCGAAGGCGGCGAGGGAGCCAACGCCGCCGCCGAGGTTGAAGATGATCCAGAAGACGGCGATGGCGCGGCCCTTTTGGGACTCGTGGACGTAGGTGGTCATGATGGCGCCCTGGACGATCCAGATGAAGGAGGAGCCGATGCCGAGGACTGCGCCGGCGGCGATGACGAAGGCGCCGTTTGCGTTGTCTGGGATGGTTAGCGGGCCTTGAGGGGTTCGGGAAGTAGTTGGCTTACGGTTGAAGCTGAGGAGACTTCCGCTGTATAAAGCATAGGTCCAGCCGCCCATAAGGAAGCAGATCTTGGGGCCGACGAAGGAGAAGATGGGGCCGACGATGAAGAGGGCGGCTACTGCGGTGGTTGAGAGGAGAGCGACGTTGGCGTTGGCTGCGACGGTTGAGTCGACTTGGCCGGAGCCTCCCAGGCCTGAGAGCGCATTGAACATCTACACAATCAGCATAAATCCCCGTCAGACTAATGTAGAGACTTACGCCTGGCATGCAGAAGCAGATGAAGCTGATGAGGAGGATTCTGTGGCGAAAATTAGGACCAACTGAAGAGTACTCGAGTGCTGCCAACTCACTGTGTCCATGGATGGGAGTACAATCTCATCATTGCTGATGATTCCTTGTTGTCGACATCCTCATTGCTCTCGACTTCGTGTGGCGTCGCCACGGAAACTTGGTCTTCGCCGTTCATGTTGCTGACTCTCCTTGACTGAAATCGACTGATCGAGTCTTTGTCAGGGAAAGCAGTCGCCGGCGCGTGACAGAAGGTAGATAAATCCTCAGAAAATCACAACGAAACTCCAACACTCATGCTCAAACAGGAACCTCAAGATAGATAGGCAGATGACACGAAACAGCAACGTTGAAGTCGGAATTGACGTTCCACGGTCGGTCCACCCCTATCTCTCTCGACAACAAGAGTTTCCCTCGGGAGAACACGCGACCACCGCCACTGGTTAACCACCCGGCCCCCTTTTTTCTTACACCATTCAGCACGGTCACAGCGGGGAAAATCTTTCTCAGCAGCCAGCAGAGATAAGCTGCGGGTGCGTTCGTGTTTTTCTCCGCACAATCCGATCTTCAACCAGGGATCTGTGCGGGTGAGCTGAGGTCCCAATTCGCCTTCATGATTCGTCGGGCACCCAGCCATTGATCCCGGGAAACTGGGTCTACCCCGTCGAGCGGTGCCATCCGCTGCAAGGGACGAGCGCGGTTTCCGGTGGGAATGGGCGCAAGAAAAAAGTGCCAAAGGAGGGAGGGTCCCTGAAGTTGAGGCTCCGCACGGTGCCCGGTGTTGCATGCCGCTTTCCTCACCGATGGAACGTGACATTGAGGCTTGGTGGTGGTGGTGGTGGTAACGACATGACGTCCATCGTCCAGTATGCCGGCGACGACTTCAAATGTGCGGTTGCTCTTGTTTGAGAGTTGTTGACTCCGCCATGAATTGCCTTGCTTGAGTTGACAAGATGATTAGAGTAGTCTTCGACACTTTGCAACATGAGATGGTCCCGTCGGTGGCGTTACCGGATCATTGATTGAGGCGTTCCGACTTTGACCTCACGTAGCAAGATGGGAACATACATACTGCCATCACAATGCCACCGCGGAAGACTCATGAAAGATACCTAGTACTCAATTGGAAGATGTCACTCGCTTATGCAACTGCCGATTTGCAAGGCGAAAAACAAAAAAGCAGACTCATTACATCAGCGCTGAGCGCTCTTGCCTTCCGGGTTACTTACACAAAAGTGGGGCCCATCAATAACTCTCACATCAACCACCAAAACATATCACGATACCTCGCAACGCAGGCCTCATTTTTCAACTGAGCCGCCACGCAAAAAGCACATTTAAGAGATCGAAAAAAAGAAAAAAAAGAAAAACTATTCAACGCTCATTGTGTTACTTGGTAACACAACCCGCGCCACCCGAGTTTGCCGACCACAGGATAATGAGGACTCGAACGGTGGTACTTGTGATCCTCATATGCGGATAAGGGGAATGGGGAAGTGTTCCGCTTTGACCAACTGAGCCAAGTGGCTCGCATCAATGCTGAACCTGTGGTGATGGAGAAGCTGTCCTTTTTCGAATAAGTAGCTCTGGGCTCTCACTTGGGAGGTCTGGGACCGTGATGGGTGAAGAGAACTGTCAAGGTCGGTGGTGGTCTTAGGGAAGACAACAAAGGTGAATCCGAGTTGGGATGAAAGGTCCTCACCGAGTCGTGGAAGGTGCGGTTCGCGGTGGGTGGGTCCAGGCATCAGTTTTCCCAGGTTGATTTTTCCATTGGGAAAGTGCGGGCCTTCCGGGTTAGTTGTCTGCGGTCTCCAGGAGATAAGAGATGTCGAGAATGGGAAATCCAATGCCTGATGGCCGGAGAAGAGGAAGAGGATCGTTGCGATTTCGCGACGACTTCGGGGGAACGTGCCGCGTATTAAGGAGACATTTTATTTGAACGACTATGTTATGGGAACGTTACCTTGGCCCCGAATGATAGTGTGAGTGGACACATACTCAGGTCGATCGGGTTAAACCCTACAGCCATGACTCTGCTACCCCGTGGGGACAACAACGTCGCACTTAGAGCACTCCACTCCTGATACTTCCAAATCAAGCACTTGGTAATGTATCATGAACAAGATCGTGTCAAAAGAGACGTAGCCAACAGAGAAAAAGAAACATTACCCCAGACTTCGGCCGCGTTCCAGAAAGACACGGTGCGGATGACCGGCAGGAACACTCACTCCCGTCCCCTCGGAGCCGACAATGACAGCCGACCACGAGCCGGATCCGGATGTTAACGGGTGCCAAAACGGTTACATATTGTTTGAATGGCATTGGAATGACATTGTCACATCTCAAGACGGTCTGCAGAAAACGGCACTTCCAAGCGAGCAGACTCCTCACATATCAACCACTCAATAGATCATCGCCGCTACACCTGCATCGCCTGTCATCAGACCATCCAACAACCTGCACCAACGGCCGATCTCCATACGCTCACTCCCCGCCGTCCAAAACCGCAAGGACCAAAAAAGGTGAGTTCTGACTTCGTTCCGCCCCGGATGCATGCCGTCCGACACGCGGCTTACCCATGCTACATTCCTCGCTCACTACCAGACAGCGAGACAGCCCATACCTCGCACCTCCCCTCCAACGGCTTTCCGCACGTGGGATGTCCGCTGCGGGAAGAGAAATGACAACATTGGGTCCTCAAGGAGGGTGTGACAATCACCTTGCATTTGGCGACGAGCATCCCTGAAACCGTCGAGGCCAGCTTCATCGACCTGTTCTTAGATGCTCTTTCAGCATTGCGGCCGCTGAGTTCAATATGTTTCCGCCGCTTCATATGCGACTGGCGGCCCGGCGGCTCTCGAGCCGGAGCCGCTCTCTGTTCTGCTGCTCCAACATCCCTATTGGTGGGCAAATTCGATAACATCCCTTCGGCAAGGCTTCCCATTCGTCGATAAGCAAGATCCTGTCAAGTATCCTATCTCCCCGTCAAGATCGTCGGGGGAGCGATGTGCGGACGGTAATACACAAATCGAGACGCGTGGTTTCTCTCTTCCGAATCACTATCCGTAGCAGATGGAAGGCAGTCCTGAATCAAGGTAGAGTGAGAAGCATTGTCCAGAACCAGCTTCATGGATTGGAAGTCTCGACCATTTCCTGAGGACACTGAACACTGTTCGTTGACGAACAATGCGGATGAGTCGCAGACGAACAAAGAGCGTCGTTATGTACAAGATTGACGGTTTCAACTACGAAACATATCGATGAGACAAGAACAATGTCGCTAATACCGCCCAGAAACATCTTGAGCGAGAGCAAAATAAAGGCAGGAAGCCATCCATAAATAGGCGCCGCCTTGTAATGCGGAAGAAACAGAATTGTAGGTACACAACCCTCTCAATCACGCACAAGGCAAAAAAAGGCCGCCCGGTAAGTATTCCACACTGCAAACGGACACAATGTGCGAGGGAACAGCAACCACAATGTCCTGCGGTCACACCCTCCGCTCTCGCCTCCGAGACTGCGGCAAGGGGGCCGACTGCAAAGGCGAGCTCTGGAAGCCCGCCTTCATCGACGACAGCTGCGCCGCGTGTCATCGGCCCATGCACCTCCGCGACAACCGCGCCCTGCACGAGGCTGAGCATGCTATCCTGATGGCTGACTATCGCCAGGCGAAGAACGATGGTAACGGCGAGGAAATGCTGCGTTTGCACCGCGCCATGATGGCACACACCCGTCTATCGCGGCTCCGGAACTTTACTGTAAGCTTGACGCGCGAAGAGCCGCTTGGCGATGTCAAGTGGCCCAAACCAGAGGGAGAAACCGGCAATAATGCACACAATGATGGTGCTGGCGGCTCTGAATCAAGTAGCAGAAGCTGAATGAATTGCGGACTGGGTATAGATACAAAAGTCACAAAACCGCCGAATGAAGAATCAGAAACGCCTTGCTCCCTTTTGATGCCACGTCTTGACGCTCCGTACTCACAGTATCCCAGTTACCAAGGCCCTGTGAACTGGTTGTTGAACATCCCTAGTCGTACGTCACTTGGCCCCATAAACTGCGCCATCTCCCACGCCGATGGCATGTATGGACCCTGGGCCATGGCGTCCTGCTTTGACTGGTTCGCGCTGACCTGCGCCTGCGCGTCCTTCTTCGCCTGGTTGAACTCCTTGACGCGTGCCGTGCCCAGCTTGCCGGCCCTCCTCTTGTCGGTGTTGCACCGCAGCAGCGGGACCTGGATGACTGCTCCGAAGATGTCTCTGACTTTTTGCTCTGGCTGGTTGTGCCGTTTCGCCACCTCTTCGAAGGGGAACACGTTGAGACAGGTGTCGGCGATGTCGACGATGATGTGTTTGGTGGTAAGCTGCGGTGGGTCTGTCGCCTTCGGGGCGGCGGGTTTGGCTGGATTTGTAGAACTGGGTGTTTGGAGGTAAGGATTCCTCTGGCTGGAAGAATAGGTCGGAGCTACCGGCTGCGTTGACGTCGGTGCCATGGGAAGCATGTGCCCGGCTGACTGCTGGGCTGGCATGCCATGAGAATATTGCTGTTGCGGGAGAGCGAAAGCGCTGTTCGGGCCCGCCATCATTGATTGTTGCAGCAACGGGCCGTACATGGCGCCAGCCATCGGGTTGGCGTAGGGGTTAATGCCGAGCATGTGTGGCCAGTGTTGCTGGATTGTGGAAGATGGCATGGAAGTTTGCGCTGCTCCTGAAACATTGGCGGTAGAAGGCATCGCGGCTGTGGCAGTCAGGTTTGCTGCCTGGGCTGCCTGGCTCGCTGCTTGTTGCCGTAACCTCGCCTCCAAACATTGCCGACAAGGTCCTTTGGCTCCTGACGCAGGTCGATCGCCGCAGGAGCCAGCTTGAGTCGTGCCATGGGCGGAAGCATGCGCTGGGGTATGGGCTGGAATTTGGGTAAGAGGTGCCACCGGACTAGGGTGAGGAGTGTGATGGTGAGTGTGGATGTGAGTATGAGGCTGCACTTGTGGTGTTGCGGTCGTGTTTGGTGTCTTTGCCGGGCTTTGGCCTCTCTGGAAATCCAACAATGGAACAGTTGATGCTGGTTTGGGGTCAGCTTGAGCACAAGGTTGGTTATGAGTGACTGTTGTCGTCACGGTTCCCGTCGTGACCTGCTGCTGCCCATTCGTGGCATCTAACATTGAAGCAGCATCGGGCTCAGGGATGAAGTCAACAGCGCCAGCCAGAGTTGAATCGACGGTGCTTGTGTCCTTTACAGTCTCAGTTGGCATTTGTATTTCCGAACTTGGTTGGGTCGGCGTACCTTCCGCTCTCACTGTTGGCGGTTGAGAGCCCATACGGGCCGGGCTGTTAGTCGGGTGAGCCGATCCGGGAAAGCCAGCACTGTTCACCACCGCTCCACCGCCACCACTCAGCCCATTCGTGGGCCCAGGCGCCGGACCGTGATGCTCGTCGAGCCGGAGCATAGACGGTTGGACGTGCTCCGGTAGTGTCTTGGGTGATACCGGCGGAGAGCACTGTGGACCAGATGACGGCGCGGTCCAGAACGACTCAAGATACTGTGATCTCTCCGGAATCGGGACCGAGCAGCCTCGCGTCGGGTCTATGTCCATCGCGTGTGATGTTGACGACGGATCGACCATGCCGGTGCTCCCTCTTCGCTCCGGTTGTGACTGCACCGCAGTGACTGCTGCATGCTTGGGAGGCTCGGGTGGCTGGTGGTTGGGGGCGGGAACCGGTTGATTATCCGCGGGGGGCGGTGAGTGTGTTATGGTTGGTATGGTTGGAGGTGGCATGATGGGTCGATAGGTGTCAAGCCTCCTCTTCTTGACCGGATTAGAAGACACAAACTGGACATCATCGTCTTCCCTCTTGGCTGGCACGACTGGCTGAGTAGCAGGGGCGGGCGGTGGTGGCGGTGGCGGTGGAAAGACTTGAGGAAACATTGGAGGAAACATCACGCCTTGATGGTGGTAGTATGTGCCGTCCATCCTGAAGAGAAATGAGAGAATTGGTGTCTTCAGAATGCGGGTGCGGGAACGGATGCAACATTGATGAGACGGAGGGATGCGGGTAGTTTAGTTGATAAGAATGGCCAAGCATCCATATTTGAACCCTGTCCCGAACAGCTACAGCTCTTGCAGAGTGTGCTGAGTACGCATGTTGGAATGACGGGGCCCAGCACGGTTAGCATTAATTAGCAGGCCATGAACAGCAAAGAGAGAAGCCAAGAGAAGAGTGCTGGCATGTTGCACGGTTTGTCTTTCAACTCTTGTCTTTGGCAGACAGCCGGACGCTAGCCCGGTAATAAAAGGGAGTATTCACACCAGCTCTGCGTACTGTGACAAGCACCTTGAATCGATGCCACTTTTTTTTTGGTGGCCCTCAGCATGCAGATTGCCACCTGGGCGGTGGGTAGGGAAGCAGCATCAGGTGGGTGAATGGGCCCCTAGCTGTGCAGAAATACTTTGCCAGCTCGCCTCAGATAAAAGGTGCCTTTTGGGCTGTTGTTGTTGCCAGCGCCGCTGCTGCTCTCTGATTGTCTGTAAAACTGCAAATGTCGATGCTGAGAGCAATGAAAGTGGTGAATGCATCCTTGTGCAGCACCAGACACACACCCCATGTCGTTTTGGCTAACCGAAGACCCCGAGTTTGAAGGGGCTGACTGTGCACATTAAGGGCCACTGGAGCTGGAAGGGGGAAAGCGATGGAACATCGAGATGAATCCACTTGGTTCAGTTGAGAGAGATGTTCAGGGAAGATGATGGCTGCAGACGGAAGTGCGACCGAGAGTCGATAACGTTGCCCAACACTGTCTATGTCCTGAGTGATGTGAGGGATGCAACATCCCTCCAGAGGCACAGCATTGAGCAATGAATGGAGCACTGGGTGTAGGTTGGAAATAGGAGACCCACAATAGCTTCCAGAGCTGATGTAATTGGCCTGAATGCGCAGCCAATGACTGAAAAGGTGGCTTGACCGTTTGCCTCAGCCTCATGGTCAGCCTCAACTGTCTTTCAAGGTTGGGGCCGGTAGCTCCTGCCTACCTTGACTCCCCACATCGCGGGGCACCTTCCATTGACACCCGTGGACGCAGCTACCTGCAACCTTGCGAACTCAAACAGCGATTCCGGCAACCGAATCTTTACATCACCTCTCGAGAACCATCGACGACACCTACCGCCGCATTTACAGACTTCGCATGGTCGCGACACCACAATAGCAACACAACATCACGGCGACGGGCAGATCCCCGCCCAGCATGGCCTCTTCCACCGAGAACCCGCTCATGTCGAGCCAGAAGTCCTCGGAGCTTCAGGCAGTCCTCCACCCCCTCGTTCTCCTCACGATATCCGACTACATCACACGCCACACGCTGCGCTCCCAAGAAGGCCCCATCGTCGGCGCCCTCCTGGGTCAACAGAACGGCCGCGAGGTCACGATCGAGCATGCCTTCGAATGTCACCTTAAGCAAGTGCCAGAGGTCGACGGCGGCTACCTGCTAGATGCCGACCGCTTCGGCCGAAGATTAGAGCAGAGTACGTTTGGTTTGATATTCTGAGATTGCCACTGCTGACTCCCTCCTAGTGAAGCTTGTCCACAAAGACCGCGGCCTCGACCTTGTTGGCTGGTACACCCTCCTCCCCTCCACCGGCCCGACCCCGACCATCCTCCCCATTCACAACCAAGTGCTCGCTGATTTCAACGAGTCCGCCCTTATTCTTGGCTTCCACCCACAGGAGGCTCTCTCTACCACAGTTGGCGGCAAGCTGCCTATGACGATTCTGGAGTCAAACTACGAGGTCGACGACGCCTCGAAGGCTGCCAACGATGGCGAGGACAAGAAGATGGAGGACGGCGACTCCAACAAGCTCAAGCTTCGCTTCCGCGAGCTTCCATACACTGTCGAGACGGGCGAGGCCGAGATGATCTCCATGGACCACGTCGCCCGTGGCGCCGGCAATGCCACCGCCATCGAGGCCCCCAAGGAATCCAAGCCCAAGGTCCAGCTCGTCGAATCAGGAGGCAAGCGTCGTGTCGTAGTGCCCGAGAGTGCTGACCAGGACATTGATGGTGCGCTTTCTCCTGAGGAGGAAGAGATGATTGCCTCCCTCACGGCGAAGGCCAACGCTGTCAAGATGCTTCAGGGCCGTATCCGCCTTATCACGTCTTATCTCGAGCGGCTACCCTCAGAATACCTTCCGGGCGTGGAGCAGCAAGAGCCAGCAGGTGAACACACGACGCCATCACACACCATCCTGCGCCAGATCCAAGCTCTTGTCAACCGCCTGGAGCTCGTCGTCCCATCCGACGTTGAGAACTTTGAGAAGGAGGTTCTCTGCGAGGAGAACGACGTCGCCATCGTCTCGCGCCTCAACGACCTTATGCAGAGCATCAGCGGCATGCGTGATCTGGGCAAGAAGTTTGGCGTTCTGGAGGTGGCCAAGAATAGGGATCGCAGGGCTGCTGATTTCACCACAGCTTACTCCGTAGGCTCATCTGGGTACAATGTTTCTGGTGTGGGCGACGTCTTCATGTAGGCCGGGAGGAAGTCGCAGGCAAAAGAAGCGGATGGACAGAAGCTTGCTCCGGCGGGACAGAAGGGTTAATTCATTGAGAGGCGTTCCGGGGGTAATGTAGACATGATGATACGCGCAGGGGTCCATATCAAGCCCCGACGAATAAACACCATACTTCTCATGCTTTTGCTTCCCTATTGACTGCTCTGACATTCCTCTATCTCATTGCATGACATACATTTGTCGGGTTCAAGTTGATTGGTGTGTAATGCTTCAAACAAACTGCATTTTTACTATACTCATTTACCCAGGATTATTTTCCATTTTGTGTCCCATCCAGCCTGAACCACTTGAGAAATCTATGACCAACGCTTATTTCCACTCCACTCGCTCCTCAACCTCGAATCCACAATCTGGCCCCGGCCGAAAGACGTCGTTTTGAAAAGAAAAAAGTAAGCAGAAATGTCTATCTTGGTATCAATCATTCATATTCATGGCCGTAAACTTGAAGCAAAGTCTGCAGCTTCAGCTGAGGAATAATACTCCTCAAAGCAGCAGCTTCATCTTTCTCTTGCTGTACCTCTTCAGGCCTCGATGACAACCTTCAAGACGAGGTTTCCTTCATCATCGCACGTCCTGCTGGCCAGCTCAAACGCCTTTGAGGCATTCTCAAGGCCCTTGAACCTGTGCGTGACCATGTCGTCGAGGCGGGGAAGGCCGCCGTTGCCCTTGGCGCAAAGCAGCCGGACGCCGGTGGGATAGGTGTTGGCGTAGCGGAAGATCCCAAGGATATCGATTTCTCTCAAGTGTGCGACGGACAGAGGGAGGGTCTGCACCGGAGTGCCCATGCCCACCATGACGACCTTGCCGCCGGGTCTCGTGGCGTAGAGACTGGTGTGCATGCAGACTTCCTTACCGGTGCACTCAAACGTGACGTCAACGCCGTCGTCCTCTGCGTCCATCTCCAGTTCCTCGGGCACCTTGGTGAGAGCGAGGATGTCGGCGGCCAAGGCCTTGGCGCCGTCGAATTTGCCCTGGACGCTTTGGACCGAGAAGATGCTGGCGGGCGTCATGACGCCGGGGTCTGCGGGGGTCGAGGTCCCGGAGCTGTTGTTGTAAGAAGAGCCGGGTGCCGGGACGACGTAGCCGTGGGTAGCAAAGCCCTTGGAAATGGCGTAGTTGACGCGGCCGGCATCAACATCGGTAATGGTGACTTGAGCACAGCCAGCTTGACGGGCCATGGCCGCGGTCAAGAGACCGACTGTGCCAGCCCCAATGACAAGAGCTGTTGATCCAGGCTCGGGCGTGGCTCTGTTGACGGCGTGGATGGCGACGGAAAGGGGCTCGAGGAGGGCGGCCGCCTCGTAGGACACGTGATCTGGGATCTTGTGGCACCAAGCCGCGGGGTGGTTGATTCTCTCTTGCAACGTGCCTTGGTAGTGAGGAACACTTTTGGCGCTGGACCTGAACTTCATCTTCTTGCAGAGGTTGTACCGACCCTTGCGGCAGATGGTGCACTGTCCACAAGGGACGCCAACTTCGAGAGCAACACGATCGCCGAGCTTGAAGCCGGTGACGAGGGGCCCGATGGCGACGACCTCGCCAGAGGACTCGTGACCGAGAGAGAGCGGGTGGCAGGCGCAGAGGTCTCCATTGGCGAACTTCTTGTAGTAGCTGACGTCGGAGCCGCAGATGCCGGTTCTCTTGACAGAGATCTGCAGCTCGCCAGCGCCTGGCTCTTCAATGGTTCTCTTCTCCTAGACATGTCGTTAGATTTAACGTCTCAAGGCGGGGCGAGAGAGGACGACAGGCGTAGGGATACGACGTGATCAACGTGGGGTCATGTGTAACATGCCCGCGTTCTCCACGTCACAATACCGAGAGGAGGAGTGAACATACCAATCGCAGATCTCGCGGACCATGCAAGACAGACGCAGTGACGGAGGAAGATTTGGACTTGTAGACGGGTAGTTGCATTGGTGCCGCCTCGCCTGTTGCAACTGGAGCCATCTTGAAGGTAGATGACGCTTGCGGCGTGGGGTGAAGCGTGGGATGTTGGTCTGATGATGGGTTAGGGTGGTGAAGGGGCTTGGCCCAACTGCCTATTAGGGAGGGCTAGTAGAGTGGGATTGGCCCAGGTACCGACTGAGGGGCGCCGTCAATGGAGATGCTGAGGATAGCGAGGCACGGCCCTGGGATTCTAGAGGGGACCGGCGTGGGATGTCTCAAGGACTGATAGGTTGACTTTTTGGGGGTCTCCGTGGCTGGGAGTAGCA